ACAGGCTTTACTGTATATCCATAAAATGGAATTCTGCTCAGCAACAGAAAAGAATGAACCGCTGTGATAACACGCTAGAGCTTGCATGAATTTCAAAAACATTGTACTAAGTGAAATAAGTCAGATGCAAAAGTCCACATATTTTATAATTCCATGGATACAAAATCTCCAAAATAGGCAAATCTGTACAAACAGAAAGTAAATTAGAGGCTACCTGGGGCTGAGCATGGGAACAAGAAGTAACTGCAAATGGGCACTATGGATTTCTTTTGCCATGATTAAATTTTTCTAAAACTGAATTGTAGTAACGGTCGCCTAACTGTAATGTACTTAAAATGGCTGTGTTTTACACTTGAAATGGGACAATTGTATGGTATGTAAATTATAGCTCAATAGAACTGTTTCCTTTTTAAATCACATACACACTACTCAGTCTTCCTATTCATTAAGCACAATGGTCCCATGGTGACCCTAAGAAAAACACAAGAACACATAAGACTGTGTTTGTTTTCATCATGCAAGAGGATGACAATCTAGGGAGATAATCATGACATACACATGGGTAAATATCACCAATAAGAGAAAGTAGCAAGTGTTATGAGCACCTTCACTACTATCTACCACCTGGTCCAAACTACCATACTTGCTTTCTCCTGCAACCCGGTCTCCTCACTTCCACTATTCCCTCCTAAAGTCTATTCTCGCCAGAGCAGCCAAGGTGATCCTGTTAAAATCTAATTCAGGTCATTTCACTCATCTGCTTAAAATGCTCTAATGACTTCCCACCTCTTTTCGAGTAATGTTCCAGATGTTTCATATGGCTTTCAAGGCCCTCCATGCTTAGTCTCTCTCATTCTCACTCAGCTCTAGCCAGCCACAAAGCCCTTCTTAATCCTTCCAAGCACCCGAGGCATACTCCCACCTCAGTGCCTTTGCACTGGATGTTCTCCCTGCTTGGAACTCTCTTCCACCAGATATCTACAGGCATAGACTGCTCTCTCACCTCCTTCTAGTCTTTGTTCAACTGTCACCTTCACAGTGCAGCCTCCCTGGACCACGTTATTTAAAAACCCAGTACCCTCCCCCAGCATGAGGCTCTTCTTCTCACGCTTTATTTTTCTCCACAGCATTGCCACCTTTTCACATACCGTATGATTTGGTTACTTATTTTGATTATTGTCTGACTCTCCTCTGTCAAAACGTGAGCTCCCTAAGACCAAAGACCTTTCTTTGTTTGGTTCATTGTTGCATCACCAGGGCCAAGAATAGTATTTGGCCTGTGGTAGGAACTCAGTGTATTTTAGTTGAATGAATGACAAAGAATTACTAACAGAGTTCATAAGAGGAAGAGGGAAACTTTGCTTGGAGTGTGCAAATTGTATTTGTAAGGGAGTATTTGGCTAGAAAAGAGTCTTGGAGGTACAGCAGTTAAGTACTTGGTTTGCTAACTGAAAGGTTGGAGATTCGAACCCACCAGCCGCTCCATGTGAGAAAGATGTGGCAGTCTGCTTCTGTAAAGATCGCAGCCTTGAAAACCCTGTGGGATAGTTCTACTCTGCCCTATGCGGTCACTGTGAATTGGAACTGACTCGGCAGCAATGGGTTCGATTTAGTATATACAAATACAATTACTATTGTATATGGATCTTAAAGGGAGTCCTAATGGTACAATGGTTAAACACTCAGCTGCCAGCTGAAAGGTCAGTGGTTGGAACTCACCAGCTGCTCCATGGGAAGAAGATGAGGCAGTCGGCTTCGGTAAAGACTGCAGCCTTGGAAATCCTATGGGGCATTCAAGTCTATCCTATAGGGTCATTATGAGTAACAGTAACAGGTAACAGTATCAGGCTAGAGCAGATGAGTGTGTAAGAGAGACTTAAGCAGATGGGAAAGTCAGAATATAGAGGTCCTTGAAGTCCTGGGCCATAACAGGCATCCAACAAATATGATTGGATGGATGAATAAATGAGCAAATGAATAAGGAGTCTGGTTTTAGTCTGCACATTACCATGGAATCCAGTGAAATAGAGTCTGATATGAATCACTTGTGAAGAACTAACTTATTAAAACTTTGGGTAATTATCCCGAACCATCATCCAAACCAAATTATTTCTATAACACTGTCCTCATTCTCTGCCCGCAAACTACAATAGATTGAATTTCCATGGAAAAAAAACTTCTATGGACAAACAAAATATCCTCTAGAAAAGCTGAAGTGCTTTGTGCTATGCCCGAAATAACCACTAAAGAATGCTCAAATCCTTAAAGCTGAACAGTTAAGAATGAGCTTGGACTCATCCCTCAGAGGCTACTCAGTGGCTCAAGTCCCCTGCCTGCCTGCCTGCCTCAACAGGCTGTTAGCGCTCACACACAGGGTTAAGTCTTCCAATACTGTTATCTCTATCTGCCTTGCCCCTGCTCCCTCCCTCCAGGGCCAACCACAACACCTGATCACAGCACAGTGAGTTAGTTAATACAGCTTTTCTAGCCATGGTCTCTCTGACTCCCACCAGATGACTAGGTAGAACTATGTCAATGTGAGGTGCTTTGTGGCCCACTATGGGAACTGGATAGCTTGCTAATAATGTAAATGAGGTACATGGCACCCTCGTGGGGGTTGTTGTTGTTGTTGTTGCTATGTGCCATTGAGTCAGACCCAACTGGTAGTGACCCCTCCTTGGGTTTCCGAGGCAGTATCACGGAAGTAGATTGCCCAACCTTCCTTCCAAGGAGTGCCTCGTAGGTGGGACTGTGCAAATCAGGTATATGGAACCTTAACGTGGGGATTGGTCAGTTTTGCCATCTCGTAAGGTTTAAAAGGCCATCCCAGAGACGAAAAAGGGGAATCTCACTATGATCAAGAGAGAAGCAGCAGCAAGAGTGGAGCACGTCCTTGGACCTGAGATCCGAGCACTGGACCTCCTCGACCCAGGAGAAAGAGTGACCTGTAACACTTTGCTGAGACAGCAGAGAGACCACTGCAACAGAGGTAGCAGAACCAACAGAACCAAGAGACTGGCATGGGGCAGAGCGAGGGCTTACCAGCCCACAAAGCAAGAAAGCTGAGTGCCTTCAGGCAGGGCACACCCGTTGGCAGAACTAAAAGAGCTTCATAACACTTGCATGAGCATAGCAGAGGCCAGGCCAAGGACCAGAGAGGCATACCTGCGGGCATGGCTGAGGAGAAGCTGTCCAGATCAAAGATTTGTATCTAGAGGATTCCTGAACCTGAATTGTAACCTGCTACTTCCCTAATAAATGCCATGATTTTGAGTATCATCTGTAAGTTCTGTGTGACCACTGCAATTAATTATCAAACCCAGAAGAGAGGTAGAGTGCTATGTGAGGCACACTTTGTATCAGAATTGGCGAAAAAGGTTGGAAGGTAGCAGCATGTCTGATCTCTGCCTCATAGGAATCAGCCTTGAGCTGACGCTGCTGATGGTGATTCTGTCTCCCCCTTGTGAAGTTAGAGGAGGTCAGAAGATGCTGCTCCCATGCCCTTTTTGCACTGAGACATCATTAGTGTCCTTGGCATTCAAGATTGTTCAAAAGTATTCTTCATTTTGACCATTATTCCTGAACAGACCCTATCCTTGACTGTGTCACCTAGGCTTCTGGTTGCCCACCACCATTTTCTTCATGCTGTTTCCTCTGCCTACCACTACCTATAAAATGTCTAAACCTCTGCTGTCGAGTCAGATCCAACTCATTGTGACCCCTCCTTGGATTTCCGAGGCAGTATTGCTATGGAAGTAGATTGCCTAACCTTCCTTCCGAGGAGTGGTTGGTGGGTTTGAACCACCAGATTTCTGTTTAGCAGTCAAATGCCTTAGGCACTATGCCACCAGAGCTCCTTATATATGTCCCTTTAAGGTCCAGCACAAAAGTCACCTCCTCCATAAGCCTTCCCTGATTACTATTGTTCTCATTCCCCCACTACCTTCTTGAGATCCTGGGGTTCTCATCACCTGTCTGACTCAGGAGGCTCTTAAGATACACTGATTTAGACACTGTTCCTACTTAAGCAGTTCATTTTTGGTGTTCTCAGTGAAATCAGAAATGTACCATTTCTGGACTATCAGGAAAGTAAGGCATAGAGGTCGGTCAAAAATGATCTTATGATTCTGTGGGACTAGTAAGGAACAGCCTATCCTTGGGAGGCCTCTCTAGGAGAGAGAGAAGGTCCAGCTGTCCCTAGAAAAAGAGATACTATCTCCAGCTGCCTCGGTCCTGCCCTTAGAGCTGCAGGACCAGCCTGTCTGTCGCTTGGCCTGCCCAGCGTCATCCCCTCTCTGGCAGGCCCCCACTGTTCTCCGGGCCTCCTTCTCCTTGCTTTCTCTGTTGCTCAGTTGAGTATGACTACTTGGCTGCTAGGGCAGGGGCAGCTATAATAGATGCCCGGGGCCTTTTTCCGTTTTAGCCTCTCTCCACTTGCTGTACTCTGTGCTTTGTTCTCTGGAACCATGATAAAAAGCAACACGGAAATCACATCCAACATGACACTGAGCTGCAGAAGGCACGCATCTGAGATGTATCCTGGGGCTCGCAGAGAGTGTGGGGCCTGCCTGGTGAAGTCCATCCTGGATTAGTCCAAACCAGCCCCTGGACAGCAAGCCCAGAGCACTGTGAGGGGAAGGTTGAATAGAAGTGCAAAAATGAATAAATAAATAACAATTATTTGTAATCTGTACAACCACTCTATGAGAAGGTATTCTCACTGAGGATATTTTAAAGGTAAGGAAACTCAGGCTCAGAGAGGGGAGAGAACTTAATGCAAGGCTATGGCAGCTAGAAGGTGGTAGAGATAGGATTTGAACTCCAGTCTCAGTGGCTGTCATGGTCAGCTTCTTCCTGCTCGGTTGCCCTGTTTCTCTCTCTTTTTCAGGCTTGCTCTCCCCTGTAGTCCTAACACAAGGATGGGCATACTGGGGGTACTCAGCTCCTTTGCTTGATTCTCCACCTGGCTGACAACCCCGAAGCAGACATTTGCTACTTACATTGTAAGATGTGAGATACCATCAACGCTGTACAGTTGTCACTGCATGGAAGCCTTCCTAGAGCCAAATCCTTCTTTATTTGAAGAGTAAAAAGATATCTGCAAAGCAAGTGGGAAAAACTTCTTGAGAAAGAAACAGGAATAAGAGAAAGAAGCATTTCCCTTCTTCCAGGTTCAAGCCGATTAAAGAGAGAAAGGGCAGCCCCAGTCAGTAAGATGCCTTTTTGGGCATGGTGAGTAATGCATAGTCTTTGCTTCAGCCCTAAACCAGCCCCAGACCACAACTTGGCTGATCCAGTCATTTGGCAGGCCTGACAGCCATTAGGAATCACCTCGGCCAAATCCACCCACCAACGTGAGGGAGTTGGTCACACAGAAAAGCCACATACCCGACTAGAGAGAAAAGGAGACTCAGCAAGAATGAAATTTGCTCAGGAGACCAGTACTGCACTGCTCACAATATACTATCAAATACTCATTGATGTAACAACTTGCAAGGCTGGCAGGAGGAGAATGAGTACCCTGTCTGACAACTATGAAAAGAGATCATATGGCCCAAAGACAGTGAAATTGTGACTGGAGACCAGGTCTGCCACTGAATCCAGGATGGCCCTCTCCCAGAGACTGTTTCACAAATCAAGGCGTTGAGCCTATTTTTCTGCCTATATTTTTCCTTTTGCCTGGACCACCTTCTCTATGTGACCAGAGCCACACATGGTGCTTTGCACAGAGTAGGTATATAATTAAGTTTCCTGTTTAGAACTAAGTCCTTTCCCACCAAAGGCCCACTGTTGCTGTTACGTGCTATCGAGTCATTTCCGACTCACAGCAACCCTATGGGCCATAAACCGAAGCACTACCCGGTCCTGCACCCTCCCAATCACTGTCATGCTTGAGCCCACTGTTATAGCCCCTGTGCGACCAATCAGGGACCAAAAGGGCTAATGGGGGACCCATCAAGGACCAATAAATGAAGTTTGGTATCCAGGGACTCGAGCCCTGGTGGCATAGTGATTATAGTGCTCGGCTACTAACCAAAAGGTCAATGGCTCCAACCCACCAGCCACTCGGCAGGAGAAAGATAAGCAGTCTGTTTTCATAAAGTTTAGTAATAGCCTTGGAAACCCCATGGGGCAGTTCCACTTTGTCCTATAGGGTCGTTAAGAGTCTCAATCGACTCAGCAGTGGGTTTGTTTTTGTACCCAGGGCTTTGCCAGATAGCATTTGCTCCACATCTCGAAGCCTTTATGAAAGGAGAATCAACTTCTGAAAAGATGTGTACAGCAAAGTCTCCCACTGACCACTTTCCTCCATGGTCCAAAATTGGTTCTGAGATTTGATTTTACACATCAAAACATTTATTGACTATCTGCTCTGCACATTGTCCTATATAAGATATGATTTTTCCAAAGTTCTAGCTGGATTTTTTTTTTTTTTTTTAGCAATTAAACCTTGAAGGCAATGTGGTGAATCAAAATTAATTACAGGTGATAGATGAAAATCCAGATTAGAAAAAACAGGGAAATTTGTAGGTGATTATCCAATTTACAAAAGCATTCATCATTATAATCCTTCAAATTGCGAGCTCCCTTAATGCATTAGAAATGATTCAATTAGAAAAATTATGTTTGCACACCACTCTCAGAAATCCATGTACTAGTCCCAAACAAGGCATCCTTGCAAAGTCAACTACAGTTAAATGTTCTCAAATAGACCAGAGGGAAAAATAAACAAAGGAAGCCTCACCTTGGCATATTTGCAAATAGAGATGTGTATGAAAATTATCAGCCTCAACTGCTAAAGGGAAAGCGAATTTCCTTTTACGTCTAGCAGGAAAGAAAGGAAGTTCTTGTCATTTGGCACGTTCCTTGCTGTTCAGAAGGCAGCTGTCTGCTAGAAATACCAATTCCTTGCTCTGAACAGCTGATGAATCATTTATCATCACATTGATTTTCTCATTCTTCTTCTTGGTTTTTTTTTTTTCCTTTCTTTTTGAGAAAGTTTATCTCCATCAAAATTGGTCACAATTTGAAACTCAACTGAAACGGTTTAGCGCATGCAAACTGATATTGATACCAAGATGTCAAGTTATCTGGGAAAGTGGCCTACAACCCCCAAATGGAAAGAGAGAGAAAGGAAAGGAAGGTGTGTTTAAAGTGGTATCTGCAAAGACCCCTCATAAAAGAGGTCCCCCTGTACAAAAAGGGGAAGAGGAAACGTTGGGGGGAAGATTTTAGGGAGAGTAACTACCAACTTCCTGTGATCTTACACATTATAATGATGAATACTTTAGTAAATTGGATAATCGCCTACTAATTGACCTGTTTTTAGTTCCCAGGGCCTGTTTTCTCTCCTGTAAACAAAGAGATCTGGACTAGATTGTCTCTGAGATCTCTTCTCGGTATAAGAGTCTAAGTCTAGAGAGCAGAGGAAGGTTTTAGGGAGTGTTGGATTGACAGTGTATTTTTCAGAAGTAGGTTTGTGTTGTAATTTTAATATTAATATTCATAGCTATTTGGCATCACACACAGCATATTTTGTCTTCTATCAAGGGCTGTTTCTGGGTTACCTCCACATACACCCCCTCTTTTCAACGTCCTTGGAAATCAGCTCACATCATACCTGTGGTCAAGCATGAAGGCAAGCACTCTTGTTGTTCTAACAGTCAATGACCTAACCCTCAAGCAGGCACCAAGGCTGACTCCCAGACACCACGCCATCTCCTCCCTGCCATCCCCCACCCTTTGGAAGCTTAGCACTTGGGAGACCAGCCAGGCTGTCCCTCTCTCCAGCTCCTCACCATCTTCCAGAGAGTGGCTTAAAGTTAAAACTTCCAAGAGACTTATTAGCCCTTCCTGGCTGGATGGAGAACAATGACTCTTAAGTAACATCATGCAGCCACACAGGTAAGTACACTACCTTGTTAGTTCTTCTCGCAGATGTCCAGGGTCCACTGGGAAAAATTTCACCATAAATTTGAAAACAACCTCCTTAGGATCTTAAAACACAATATCTCCATAAGTTTTATTTACATGTCCATCATAACAGTTACAGGTCTTTACACACACACACACACACACACACACACACACCCCTCTTTGTTCCTCTCCATGACTCCCTCCCACAGACTTTTCTTTTAAAATTTCAATTTTTCACATGTAAAAGGTGGTGCTATTTCAGGATTGTGTCTCTCTATGGAAAACAATTGGCAAAGTTCTCCCTCCCCTCCCTCTTCCCTCTCTCCCTCTGAGATTGCTTTTGTAAAGCTGTGCCCCTTTGGGGGCCTACTATGTCCTTTCCTTAGAAGTGTCCCATTTTGAAAAATGTACCACTGGCTACATGGGATTCTACATCCTTGGCTGAGAGAAGGCTCCAGAGCCAGCTGGGGCAGGTGACTATCACCTGTCCTAAGAAGCTCTTAAAGGGAACTAGAAACAGGATGGACTGACGCCTCTATATTAAGAAAACACATCTACTTACCTTCACATCTACTTGCATTTGAAAGTAAGAAACTTTTTGCATCAAAAGCACACACATGCATGCACACTGGCAGGATTTGTTCAACAGATATTTGTTGGGTACCTGTGATGTGCTAAAGGAGCTCTACTGGTGTAGTGGGTAAGGAATTTGGCTGCTAACCAGCAGGTCAGCAGTTCAAACCCACCAGCTGCTCCTTGGGAGGAAGATGAGGCAATCTCCTTCTGTAAAGATTTACAGCCTTGAAAACCCAATGGGGGTCTCTATAAGTTGGAATTGACTCGACAGCAGTGGGTTTGGCTTGGTGTCATGTGCTAAGCATTGTACTAAACAGGCACTGGGAACGAAAAGAACACTAAGAGCTCACAGTCTGGTAGAAGAGACAGACAGCTACACAGACAATTACACAATCACAAGGTAAATGCTAAAGGCATGTTCTGTAAGCACCATGTACTAGGAAAGCACAGAGGGAAAAAACTTTGGAGGAGGTCATGGAAGGCTTCCTAGAGGAGGGGTTGCCAGATTCAGCACGTAAAAACACAGGGCCTCTAGCTCAACTGGAGAATCCCGGTGGCACAGTGATTAAGTGCTCGGCAGCTAACCAAAAGTTCAGTGGTGCAAACCCACCAGTGGCTCCATGAGACAAAAGACCTGGTGGTCCTCTCCCATAAAGATTTCAGCCTTGGCAATCCCATGGGGCAGTTCTACTCTGTCCTATAGGGTCACTACGAGTCTGAATTAATGCCACACACCAACAGCAGTTGAATTAGAATTTCAGATGAACAACAATTGCATGGGACATACTTATACTAAAAAAAAAAAAAAAGTTTTCTTTGTTTATCTGAAACTCAAATTTTATTGAGCATCCTGCATTGTGTCTTACAATCTTACGCCTGAAATTAATGTTGTCAAAGTCAGGAGGGGTAGACAGACTAAGCGAGCAGTGGCAGAAATACAGCTAGAAAATAATCGGAGTCCAGGGCTCTGTGTATTATGCTAATTAATTTGGATTTTACTCTGAGGGCAATAGGGAGCCATGGGAGGGGTTTTAAGCAGGAAAGCATTGTGGTCAGGTTTCTGCAGTCAATAGATCCATCTGGGAGTAGCAGAGATGATAGATTGTTGTGAGAGGATAAGTTAGGAATCTGTTAGAATAATGATACGAAGGGCATGCAGTGGAGAACAGACAGAACTCTGGTAAGCGCCAACATGTAAAGAGCAGGTAGAAGCAAAGAATGTCACAAGAAAGACACGACAATCACACAAGGACAGATATTGTATTAGTCCGCTATTGTATAAGTGAAGGAAAGGATTATCTATTGAAGGACATTTTCTTTGTTGGTTACCAGGGGTAGGAGGGGAGGGGAGGAAACGCTGTTAGATAGATAGAGATAAGTATGCATTTGGGTGAAGAGAAGGGCAATGTACCAAATGGAAGTGACCAATATGGCAGCATTGAGGATGAGAAAGACATAGAGAGGTACATGAGAGGTACAGACAACAAAAATGAACCCTTTTGCACATACAGTACTACGTTGTCAGTGAAGGCAAACATGTGTATATGGGTGGATAGATGGGTGGACATGCTGAACTATTAGGTGTATCTATGAAATGGGGAGTGTATCCAAGAACATATATAGGGTTGGCAGACAATGGTCCTATAAGTTTATGTGAATGATCAGAATCCCCAGGTGTATAGTA